AGACCGAAATAAAAGAAGCTTATTCAGTTGAAATCACCATTACTAAGGTGAAAGATAGGTTGAACTTAGAAAGCCTGATGTATACGATCGACTTTCAAAGTAAAAGTGAAGACAAAAATCAGCAGGCACTGAAATCATTGAAAGCTCTTTTAAAAGCAATAGAAACAAAACTTCTCGATGAGCAATCAGGTAATCGGATCATTGTTAAAAGCTTTTTGTGAAGAATATATTGAACCAAATGTAAAGGAATAAAATTTACTCTATTTTGATATTGATTTTAATTGATGAGACTAATTTGTTAAACGCAAAATATTTATAAAACTTAATTCTAATACAGGACCTTGGATAAAATATCCAGATTGTGCTCGAATTATCCGAACATATAGTGATCAGAATAAAAATCTTCATATTCTATGCAACTATGAAGCAATTGGCCTATTGATAACTTATTTCAATGAAGAAAAATCAACCGATCTTCGAAATTTATGTATTAGCAGTACTGATCTCGACAAACTGATCAAAAAATTTATATTCGTTAATATTTCTCTACCGTCAATCTCTGATTTAACAACAACTAATAAAAGTAATTTAGCACAAGATATTCTTAAACTAGAAAGTGCAATGAGATCAGAAAATATTTTAATAATACTTGCACAACGATGTATTCATTTGTTTGGCTATGTTGACATCGTTGAAAAAGTACAAAAACAAATAGAAGAAATCAAGACAAAATATGCATCAAGAACATTTAAACTTACTTTAGAACAGAAACAGGTGAAGAATAGATATTTTTCTTTCTTAAGAAAACGAAAGAAATATTTGTTCTATATATAGATAAAATTTTTATTGGATATCTATTATGACGAACTGAAAGCACTTCAAACTAATTTTAATGATGCAACAATTATTGAGCCTTTGAAAAATGGAGAATTTACAGCTCCAAGTTATGTCCATGATAGAATTGAAAAAGAAATAATGGCATTAGCTTCATTGTGTACACCAATTAATTTTGAAGTTCAAGAAGAAGCTTTTGGTTTGATAGCACAAAACGAATGTACCAATCTGGAAAATATTGGGCGTCAGAACAAATGTCAAATTGAAATACAAAAGGAAACTACAAATAAGATATATGAAATACCAAAAGCTCTAACACAAGATCATCTTTCGAATAAATTAACAGCAGCAGCCATCACAATACAAAAGAATGATCTAGCTGAACAAAAAGTAAGAAAATTATAAATTTTAAGAGAATTATAATAATTATGGGTTTATAAATATGTTCAGGTAGATCTTGTCGTTGTTTCTTCGACATCTATATATCTACGTGATGGAATACTTAAAAAAGCTGGAGAATCAGTAAAAAAAGAATATGAAGAGGCTTCGAAAATGTCATCATCAGAACCTTTTGAGACCGATTCAGGGCAATTACTATGTCGAAAACTTTTATTTTTAACATGGCAAATAAATCAAACCAGTCAAAAAGCGTTTTATCAATCAATTCGAAATTTTGTTCGTAAAGCTGTTCAACATGCCATTAAGGCTCATCATACATCAATTGCATTTCCAGCAATTGGTTGTGGAAAATATAATTTCGATAAAAATATTGTCGCCAATGAAATGTTAATTGAAGCTCAAACACAATTATTATCAGCTAATGTTTTGTTACAAATTAACTTTGTTATTTTACCTGATGAAAATGATGTTTTTGATACATTTCAAGCAAAACTCAAAAGCCTTCAAAAAGGTGACATGGAAATAAAAGATACTCAAAACGTATATAATTTTACAAGTAAATATAGTATAAAATTATTTAAAATATATTGCTAGTTCAACTATTTATTTATTTTTTCTAGAACTTACAATTACTATCTTGTCTAACAGTATCGAGAAACAAGAGGAATGTAAGACGGCTTTAAATAATTATGTACAACAATCATGTTCAGTTAGTGAACATTGTAATCAAAGTGCACTAAAAAAATGGACACAACCTGCTATCAATGCATTTTATAAATATTGTTCTCATCGACTTGTTGTACTAGACATAAAGATTCTTATTGGTTATTGTAAATTATTTGGTTCAAAAGAATCTGTTAGAGAAGCAGAAATTGAATATTATCGAGAACAAACTAAACAAAGTGAACAAGCTCGTTTAATGGCCATTGCTCGAGATATAATTTGGGCGTTTAAAAAAGATGATAAAAGTTGGGAAAAATATGCACCTAAATTAAATGCTCAAATTGAAGATGCATTTACATCTAAATTACAAACAGTAAGTGTTAATGGGATATAAGTAACAGAATATATCATTTTCTTAGTATATATATATATAAAACTTTATAAGCTTACACTTGGCAGGCATCCAAAAAAAATATTCGGTTTGAAATATCAACTAATATAGCTTGATAACACTTGTTAAAATATTCCTGAATCCGAATAACATCTCATTTTCCAAAGAAATGTTTGTTCTATCAACTTTCCTGAACGAATAAATTTTAACATTATGCCTAACAAAGCTTTGAGTATTTTAAAAAAATCCATTTAGTCATGAACTAAAAATGGTTGATCAAGTTATATTTTGTAATTGAGTGAACTTTTCTTGATCGTTTTAAGTTTTGTGAAGATTAGCTTTCAAATTTTTTTTTAGTAGATACGTCCTGTACAGCGAATATATTTCTAAACAATGTGACGTTTCGTAGATAGACGAATATTTCCAATTCATTTCTTTATCTTTTTACCAATATAAATAACCTAAACATGCCACATTTGATTTTATTCAAAGTTTCTTTTTTGATATTATATAGTAGTCATTGGAACATGAATGAGTTGAAAGGTAGATAAAATTAGTAAGGAAGTTATAGTAATAGAAAATCTTATACTTCTCTTGATGTCAATTGAGGAGAAACAGCAGAGATTTTAGTCTTGAAGCCCTATAAATCTTTCGAAATATTTTTATGCCTCTCTGCCTGAAGTCCTACCTATTGTTTTTATTTACTACAGAGGGAAACGTGGCCATACTCATAATATTCCTATATAAAATATAGAATCAGTCACAATCAAATCTTGGATTTGGTGTATAATCAAAATGAAGATTGCTAATGATAGCTATTGAATAACTATGATAAGTAAAAGGGTGTGGGTGTGGGTGCAGATATTACCTTTTGCACATCTACACCCACACCCTATGAAAAGATCGAAACACTGAATCAAAGCAAAATTCTTCACTACTCACCAAAACTAATTGAGCAGAAATAATTTCAAGCGAGAAACGATTTGACAGTTGAAGGCGTTCTCTCCTGAGTGAAAGTATATTGAGTTTTAACGAGCTGTTTGCATTTTCTACAACTAGTTTGATAACATCAATAACTTTAAAAAATTTTTGTCTTTCGATGATTTATTATAACTAGAAAATTTTTATTATTCATTTTTTAAAAACGAGATATATATATATGTATAGTATAAAGATAAAAAAGAATAAATACCATAATTTCTAATATTGTTAATTAATTTGTTTAAATAAGTTCAATACCATAAGTAAATATATTTTTAGTTTAATTACGCCGACAATAAATCCGTACAATATTTTATTGATTTTACACAATATATTGAAACATGTGTAAATAGTCAAGAACAACGTAAAGTTATTCGACATGCTGATGTTGGTTTACCACCACATTGGCAGTTACAAACAGAGACTGTTGCACGATTTTCATTAGATGAGAATTCAGATGAATACAAAGATATTCGTGGTTTATTTGACAAAACAATGGCTAATAAATATAATACAATGCTTCGTATAGAACGTATTCAAAATAAACAATGGTATACACAATACAATTCATATAAAAGTTTCTCGTCAAAGAAAGAAACAGAAAAACAATTATTTCATGGTTGTCGACAAGAATCTGTTGACCTCATTATTAATTCTTTTTTTAATCGATCATTTGCTGGAGTCAATGGTTTGTTCGATTTACTTTATGAATCCTTTCGAAAAAAAATAATGAGTTTATTTTAAGGTACCCTATTTGGGCAAGGCGCTTATTTTTCAGCAAATGCTTGCTACAGTGACTCCTACGCTACGCCTAGTACACAGAATGGTGAACAAAATATGTTTGTAGTCAAAGTAATAGTGGGTAATAGTACTCGAGGAAATCCCAACATGAAAACACCACCTGCAGGTTTTGATTCCACAACTGATGAAGATCATATATTTGTTACATATCGTGATGATCAAGCTTATGCAGAATATCTTATTGTTTATCGATAGATTTGAAAAAAAGCAATAATCAATGTTATTGTAATTTACTATTGTCTTTCTTTTTCTTAAACTTGTGATATTTTATGTAAAATAATCAAGATAATGAATTTGTTTGTTAAAAATAATTTTTTTTTTTATTTAATTTTCTTAAACAAAAAGGATTAACAATGGGATGTGGATGTGAGTGTGTGAGTGTGGGTCTGTGTAGGTGTGAGTTTCGGTGCGAATCAAGAGAAGACTCACATAGACACTGACATTCACATCTCATACCCTTCCTTAATTTTTTATGGAAAAATCACTATTTATTAATAATAAAAATATTAAAAAAATTCAAATATGATATATGTAGGCGTCCTTCCTGGGAAATACGATGCAGTTACACCGTAATTACGATCGCATTGCGATCCGTAATTGAACATATGGACTACACCTCATACTCATACTCTCTTGGACTGGAGAATAGTACATAGTTCGGTAGCTTATTTTGTATAAATTTCGAGTATCAGTTTTTGTTCATAAATTCTATAAAATTAAGTTTATTTACTAAAAGTTCTTATTTGACGAAAAGAATCAAAATCAGTTAATAGTTTCGAAAAAATATATTGATGAGAATATCTTTTATTCGTTTTTAAAGAAACAAAGAGAAAAACAAAAAAATATATAGAGTTATCTGCTAGTATAAAAAATGAAATGAGACAAAAACAAAATAATGAATCCAAAAATATAATCATGAGAATGTATGAGTTTATTGTAAAGCATATTTCGAATCATCTTTCATAACCATATCTTCTGGTGGAATAGATTTACCATACTTTAAGTCATGTCCATACATCTGTCTTAATTTTTTTAATCGAATTCGAATATCTGATGTTAATTGAGACCATTCGAAACGCCATGACCAATTTTGTGGACAATTATGTTCAAGATCAGATCCTATTAACAATAAATAAATAAATAAATAAATTTTATTTTCGTAATCATATATTTAATTTTCTCACTGTTCATCGTATTAGTTTTTATAATATGTAATAGTATAAATTACTTACCTATTCCTAGTTCATTCATTCTTGTTGAAACATTTAAATTATCTTGCATTTGAATAATTGTGCCATTTGAAACTGATTGTAAAATAATTTGTGTAAAATACCAACAAATATATTTATCAACATGTTTATCAAGTTTTAAACCATTTATTAATTCTTTATCATCATTAATTGGTCGACGAATATATTCAATAAATTGTTTTTTTCTTTTTCCGATGCTTCTTTTGTCCACCATTGTAATGTTGTTAGATTATCATGAGTACCTACACATTATTTATTACAAATTTTAAAATAAAATTAAACTCTCGAATTCACGAATAAATAGAATCAGTAAATATAGAATATATGAAAATTTTAAATAATTTTATTGAAATAGTATAGCTCGTTTGCGGCTAACATGTGTTCTTCAATTTCATTATATCAATAGAAAATACATTAAGTGAAAGGTCTCTATAGCAAACTATGGTTGTTTTTTCAGGAATAAACAATCTTTCTTATTTATTTCTACATTTTGAATAGAAATTTTTTTGTTTTACTGGCACTAGTATTGTTATTCTAAATATTGGTTTAACTGACAAATAAATTTCTTGTACGAATCCATCATCCTATAGGAGATCTCAATGAGCTATTATACTGTACTGGGTGGGGAGTGCTTATGCACTCTCAGGAGCCTGGTAGTTGCAGGGCACGTCCCCTGGAATTTAGGAACCATTGTACTTCATTCTCAGACCAGTCACTGACGTATAGAACATTAAACAATAACTGACTATATTTTAAATGTGTGTGGCCATCCATTATTTATTGTTATTTTAAACAATGTATTGAAAATTTTTCTATATATTACATTCTTTTACTTTCCAATATTGCTCAGTCTAAACCAATTAGTTGAACAATTTAATATGAGCAAAATGAGTTGCTAATAAATTTCATAATGTTCTGAATCAGTAGTGATGATAGATTCTAACAACAAAATTAATTACAATGAAAATGTGGGCGGAGATTTGAATCTGACTGAACAGATGAGCAACAGCAATATATATACCTCACATCCTCTGTTCACCCACAAACCTACACTCACATCTCATTTGTATCTATACAAGTGTGTGCAGAAGAAAAAAAACCTATTGCCAGAACATCCTAAGCACTTGAATCCTATTGATATTCACTTGAAATAGTTTCGCTTTTTGTCACTGTTATTTCAAGTATAGATGGAAGGGTAAAATCGAATGTAGATGACGCTGATTTTCGATTTTTTTTCCTCAAAACTCAATAGATTCGAGTTGTTTTCTGTTCGTTTGATGCGAAAAACCAATAGATATGATAAGTTGCAGAGGATATTAAAGATGTAATTTCATTTCTTAGTAAATTCTACTTTTTAATATTAATGATTATATAAGGATGATGCATATCGATTGTAACAAAAGTGATAATCAAAATGAGATGACTACAACAACAACAATGGACAGACACATCGAAGTATTTTAAATGAATGCTATTATTAGTTTGAAAACTTCAAAGCATAAAAATATGTTCACTAACGAAAAAATTAAACGGCTCGAATTTTCTTTGTAATGCGAAGCAGAGTGTCAATAATTCTCAGCTAGTGTATTCTTGATACTTTGCTATTATTGTGAATTCTTGCTGCTAAAAACATTGTTTCAATCAGAGTCGTTCCATGTTTTATCTAAACCCATTAAAAGAGTTTCTGACTCATAAAAAACAACCTAATCGCTAAAGTACGAAACTCTTCGAACTAAAACGCAATTCTAACCCTAAACTTCGTCGGAAATGCAACAAGTTCGACATAACACTAACGATAAAAAATATACTCCTACAGCAACTTTCATGAAAACCTAGATCGGTTCCCAACTAGCATTGTCCGGATATATATAAGATATTATTCTATAGAATATTCGATTCTCTATCCGCAAACGAAATTTTTCTCTCCCAACAACAAGCTCGCAGTGCCAAAAATAATTACAACTGCACTACAGCTCAAATCGGTATGTCAATCGCATGTACAATTGTTTACAGCTGTTATCGATTCATTTGTCAGAGGGAGAACATCACACATCAATTGATACAGAATGATGTACACAATTTAACGAGTACGCCATTATCTTCTGGCAAACTAATGCATAAAAGCTGTAAGATTGTTCAAGTCTGGATTAGTGTGCTGAAGGAAATTGTTGACCAATTTTAGCTATTTTTTGGCAGCAAAAGTCGTTTGACGAGAGAGAGAATGACATGTTCACCCAATAGCGAACATCATTTCGCGTCGATTGATGTATGAATTATGCCCAGACAAATAAGTGCATGGGATCTTTAAACGTTTTTTTGCGCAGGATGCCAGGCGTAGAAGGCTTTATGGCAGTTTTAATAATGTTATAGTACCTCTATTGTTTGTCAAGAGTAATGAGGTATTGATGGGGTAGCTTTCATGACTCAACATTGATTGACGTTGGATTCATTTCTCCTCAAACAGATGAATAAGTTCGTCTGTATGCAGTTTCCTATCGGATTTGATAATTGGCTGGTAGACGGTATCCAATGAAATAAAAATCAGTATTATGATGGCGGATCGTTTTGTGTTAGCTTGACATCGGCAGATTGGTATGTCATCTATTGACAGAAGGATCATATTTCATTTTTTCCTATTTTATATTTTTTTTACCTAATACACCTTGAATTAGTTGCATCTTTTTGAAAAATTTTTGATATTTTAATTGAAATATTGATTTTGAATTATTTCACTTGCTGGAAAAAACTAATTAGTTAAATTATTTTGAAATATGAAAGAGAAAAAAAGAAGATTTGAAGTTATATTAAAAAATTGTTAAAAGATCATGGTTTGTTTTTAAAAGTACCTTACAACATGGACTGTGAAATATGTAGACTGATGAAACTTTGTTTATTTAGAGATTGTGATGAGGAAAGTTGAAAAATTGAGATGACAAAAAAAAAGTTCACTATGTATATCGTGATGACTTTTGATAGCATCTTTTATTTTCTTTGGATAGAGCACTATGTAAACTATGCCAATTGTAGAATCATGTGCTTAAAACAAACAACACTATGTGTTATTCAATTATTCATTTCGATTGATTAAATGAAATCATAGGTCTACCAAACAAAACTTCAGAAGAAATAATAATAATAATAACTGAATATAGTCTGAACAAAAAAATTAATTTGTATACTTCTTTGCATTTCGTAGATCCATTTGACATTATGAATCTACTATAACGATTGAAGATTATCATAACATTCTTCATGTTGAAAATGATTTCATATAAATGAAACACTTGATCAGACAAAAAGTATTCTCTTTCGAGCATAGTGTCAATGCTACTTTTTTCAATTCAAATCAATAAATGTCATCGAAACAATCCACTAAATCAATTCTTGTATATGTTATAACTAAAAAACAGTAAAATATTCAAACATTTTCCCATTAGGTTTATAGAATTAAGTAGCGTGAGACGATATATTATCTAAACTTCGCTGAGTTCTATATCAAATTGATATGTAAAAGTTTTCTTTTCACAGCAAATGATATGGACTGAAAGAAAGTCCCATATATAATCATACTAAATGCCTCTCCATATCCTTGTCTTTGGCACGTGTTTATACTTTACTCTTTTATTCGTCCTTGATAACCCTCAATCGTCTTTTTCACTATTCGTTTCCTTCTCTTGTTGTGTATCTGTGTATTATCTTTGGATGTTTTCGAGTTTAATTAATAAATAGAAAATTTTAAGATAAGTTTTCAATAAAGGTATTATTTCAAGTATGTTGAATGAAAAAAAAAATGCAGATTTATAATCGATAATGAAATAGAAATGTTTGATAAAAAAAAAAAAATTTCCAATAATCGTTAAGAATTGTGTACATAGAATTACGTATATCTTTTCACTTTATTATATAATCTATTAAATAACTTTCTTTTGTGCTCATCTTGTTTTGTGAATTCTTATTACTAAATATAGAAAAAAAATGTAACTGATCTTAAAGTATTGTCGTATTAGTTGGCTATACCACAAACGACCTTAAGTTCGAAGAGTAGAAAAAATGTATTATGTGCTTACATACAGATATGATGATTTTTTCTTTCTGTCTCTCTCGTTCTAAGGAAATAAATAATATCAGCAATATATAAGGCTGCACTTCGTTCCTTTTCCATCATTTTACTCTTATATACGTATATATATTGATACTCAATATGAATACCAAACTTCTCATTATTTTCGTGTTACTATCAGGTTCGTATTCTTTATTAAATTGTACATTTTGAATATGATTAAAATCTTTTTCTTAACATAGTTGTTATTGGAAGCATTGCTAGACAATGCTATAAATGTACTGCATGTCCTAGACCATTCAAGGGAAATGAAGGAGGTGTTGGCAAAGTCGATGTTGGAGACAATGATTACTGTCAAGTATATACATATATAAATTTTAAAAATCTTTTCTTTGTCGAAAATTTAGATTTGATATTATTCTTTGTAGAAAACGATTGCGTCGGGTATTGAAAGTCGAGACAGTGGTGGTAATGATTGTACACCTATCGATAAATCGAAATATTGTTGCAAAGGCGATTTATGTAATGGAGCAACAACAGTTACAGCAACTATGAAACTTTTGGTAGCAGCAGCTAGTCTACTATTTGTTGCACAATTCTTTCAATGAATAAACTTCAGTGGATTCTTGATTTATATTTGTGTTTAATATTATTTGTAGTTTTTTTTTTTCATATTTACAATTAATCTATAAAAGATAAATCTAGCGAGCTTATTCTATTTCACTACTATTAACTATTATTGAAGATCGATGTATATCTTTCACAGATTTCATTGTTGCACTTATAAATTGAATAATTTTTGCTCAAAACTTTCAAGAATATCAATATGAATATATAGAAAAATTGTCAATGCAGCTCCTCCAGGGGTCAAAATGTGAAACTCACAAACTCTGACTACTATCAATTAAATAGTATGTTGTCAGAGACGTTAAAAAGAATTTATTTTAAAAAATGCTAAATAACAGTCTTTGATATATACTGTTGAACTTTGCCTATACTGAGAAGTCATTTAGTTCATATTTTTCTATGTCCATCTTATTCGGACTTTGCTGGATTCTAGAATGATCAAGCACGTTCACATTCACACTCTCTATTGCAAAACAAATTCATTCAGAAACAAAATCTTATTCGTGTAAAAATTACATTTCATAAAG